TTCATAAAGAAGAGCCTCTAATACTAGCATTCTCTATTATTTCTCTATTCTTTCTACTTATTTTCTTTTTATTTATTATAAAAATAAAATAAGCAAACAAACAAAAAAACCTTGCTACATATACTGTTAGATGAAGCCCCGCCCCTGTCCACGCCCACGAACCCCGCCCCCTACTGTCCTCTTTTTGAAAAACTAAAATATGGTCACCCTATGTACTTCGCAATCACAGATTCTAACCTACATCTTGGAATCTATGACCCAAATAAGAATTTTCACCGGATATTGTCATCTGAACAAGTAAGTAACAAGTCTGCCACTTTTGTTCTGACCAACTGAGAAAAAAAGGCATTCCAGTACATTGCACTACCAATGGTGATCTTTATGTTTACAGACGTGACGTAATGACGCAGCGGCATTTCCCGCGAAAACCTACCCGTACCACTCAAATTAGAAAACATTATTATAAACTGACCGTTGTGAATCAAGCTAAAGCAAGGCGATAGTTTTGAATACTGGCTGGTTATGTACTTGCTCAAATGTTGATTTCGGATCATTTTTAACCAAAAAGTTATGTTACAAAGCTGCCACCTGCTGGTTAGTTCAGGTAAGTTACAGAGTTACAGCTACAGAGTTAATAGACATTTAAAAATACATTTAATAGTCAATTTAGTCAGATTTTCACAATCTGAATTTGTAGGCATAGTGAGTGTTCATGTGCGCATGTAGACAGTAGACAGGCGTGTGTGTGTGTGTGTGTGTGGTCCTGATATTCTATACGTTATGGGGACCCAATGTCACCACAAGTATAGTAATACCAGTAAATGTTGACCTTGTGGGGACATTTACATCATGGTCCCCATGATGAAACAAGTTTATAAAGAATGCAGATTTTCTTTTCTTTTTTAAATCTAAAATAGGAGTAGAGGTTACGGTAAGGGGATAGAAAATAGTTTGTACAGTATAAAAATCATTACGTCTATGGAATCTCCCCATAAAACATGGAAACCCAAGGTGTGTGTGTGTGTGTGTTCATGTGTTTGTACCTATATAGACATACATTAATTTCAACAAATTAGTAAGTCTTTGAATGTATAAAAATATTTATTACAAAACAAAAAAGGCTACACTTTTACAAAAAAAAGTGAATTAAAAATGTGTACAAGATGTTATTCAAAAAGAACAAGATTACTGAATCGTGTTTGGACACTAGACAGGGAATGTTTATGTGTGTTTTAATGATAGAGAAGATAACTGTGCAGGGGATATGGTAAGCAAAGCATCTTGGTTTTGTTTAGTCCTTTTTGTCCCAGGGAACGTCGAATACACCATCTGCACAGCTGAGACAGGGAGCATGGACCTGCAGAACCAAACCAGAATCAGTATCGCAGCATACAGTGGGACAATGAGTGTTTATATCTTATGTGTTTATATTTACCTGTAGTATGCAGAAGATGTTTGATGCTCTGATCTGTTGTCAACTCCAAAGGTTTCTTTCCCTCAGAGTTCCTTGACGTCCGATTTGCCCCGTGCTCTAACAGTAGTTCCACCTCCTTTGCCCCGCCCACCCTGGTTGCAGCATGTAAAGGTGTGTCAAGGCCCCGCCCACATTGCACATCAGCGCCTTGCGAGAAACAAGAAGCAGTTAAAATTTCCCCCCAATTTATTTTGACTGTATTGAAAAACAATCTTATTCTCATTAACAGTTTGGTTATTATTAACTAAAACCTTGAGAACCTCTCATATTTTACTGCTACATTTGAGTACTGATGCTATTTAATAATCTATTCAATAATTTAATAATAACTTTATATGCATACTTATACATTTATATACATACAGCACTGTATATACTATACATGTATGTCTGTGTACCCTGTACATATGACAATAAAAAAAATAAAAAAATTGACTGATAAACTTTGACTTTTAAAACTAAAACTATTGGAAATCATTTTAGGTATTAAAATAAAGCTGAAATAAAATAATATTAATATATTTTAATATAAAATTATATATTTATAATAATTTATATAAATATTAAATGAAAACTTAAAAACTTGCATTAAAATTACAAATACATGCACATTGTTGACAGTGTTTGTTTAGTACTAAAATTACTCAAACTAAAACTGAAAAAATAATGAAAGCTATAAACTGTAGAAATATTTAAGAATATTTCTAAAAAGAGAAAACATGATCTTTATAGGATATGTTTGTTATTGTACTACGGAATGTAATGATCTTTAAGAACAAACAAAATTAAACACTGTATTACTGTAAAATGCATTGTAAAAAAATGATATCCCTGTAATGGTCATAAAAATGGGACCCTAATCCATTAAGAGTGGTGTGTCTGACCTGAGATTAGCAGGCTCTGTACACATTCTGTTGCCTTGGATTCGCATGCACAGTACAGCGGTGTTCCTATGCTGGGAACCTCCATGTCCACATTCACACCATGAGACAGCAGCACTTCAACGCATGCTGTGTGACCTAAAACATGTACACATAGACATCCCTTTTACTTATATCCCAATGTTTGCAGTGCATTGCAAATTGACACAAATCATCACACATACCTCTCTTTGCTGCTTCATGGAGAGGTGAGCTCTGCAGATGAGCTGGATGGTGGACAGAGCTGTACATCAGAATGAGGCTGACAAGGGCGGGGTTTCCACTACAGCATGCACTGAAGAGAGGAGTGGCTCCATCAAAAGAGACAGCATTGGCCTGCATGCATATATATGTTAGCCATTAATGCATGTTGATGCAGAGACAGTGAGCAAAATAAAGGCAGATACTGTAAATAAAGAGAAAGGTATATACATACATCAGCACCATGCTCCAGGATAAGTTTAGCACAGGTAAAATGGCCTCCAACACATGCTTCATGCAGTGGTGTGATTCCATCTAATGTAGCCATTCCTACGTTGTACCCCTTTACACATGTAAACATGGACAATTCATTTTCTTCATTCATAAATGGAAGCATTTGGTTCATACAAAGTTTGTTCTTATAACAGTTACCTACAAAGTA